TTTGAGTTGATCTAGTTGATTCATCATTATGTAGATGAAGCCCAAAGGGGGAAAGAATGACTTTTAAAATCACTGAACTTTGTAGTGACACTTTGTGACTAGACCTTGTTTTTCTGACTCTCCTTCAGTGATCCGTCTACATTTCTATAATTCTGTTTGCTTTTTTTAGTTCTCTAATATTTTTAACCATGTAATTTTAAAAAATGAGACATCATTGACATATTGCCATGTAATTCTTGATAATTTCACTTTTTTAACAAAGTGCCTTAGCTGAGGAACTTTCTGGACTCTTTTTCCTCTCCACCAGGCCCTCCCATATACCCTTCCTGTTCTTACCCCTCACCAAAAGTTCACCAGATACCTGGACAGAAACTAACCTACATGATCTAGATGTCCAAGAGGAACAGTCATGGCTCTTGAGGAAAGGAGACCCTGACCAGAGGGTATAGTTTATGTTGAGAGTAAAGAGAAGAGAAGAGGTATAGTGAGAAGAGTTCTGGGTCTTGGACTTGAGGGGATCCTAAAGGAGGGAGAGAAATTGGCTGAGCTCTTGGGGCAGATGAAGTTTCAGATATTGGACTGAAATCAGAAAGAGTTATGGGATCCCAGGCCCTGTGAACCTCTGCCCCAAAATGTTTGGGAATCAGCCTTGAGAAACTGCCTGGGGCAGCTCTGGCTCTGAAACACATTTTATTATAGAGTAGAATTAATATGTTTCCTTTATCTGATATAGGTTTGACTTGTGAAGGGATAATAGCAGATGCCTAGATGCCTAAATTGGGGTGACAACAGAAGCAGAACAAAATTGTCTTCTCTGGCACAGTTTTTTTTTTTTTTAATCCTCACCCGAGGACATTTTTCCATTTTTTGTACAGATAGAGTGGGAGGGAGAGAGAGGAAGAGAGAGAGAGAGGGAAACATCGACGTGGAAGGGACACATCGAGTGGCTGCCACCCGCACGACCAACCAGGGCCGGGGACAAACTGCAACCGAGGTACATGCCCTTAGCAGGAACCGAACCCGGGTCTCTCCGGACCGCAGGCGGACGCTCTAACCGCTGAGCCAAACCGGCCAGGGCTCTGGCACAGTTTTATCATATAAATTTGATCTAACAGGATTAGAGAACCCAATAGCACTCTAGATTATAATTCAGTCTGGAACATGCAATCTACTAAACAGAGAAAATACTAGCTGGTGAACCACATATCTTTGTTGTTTGAGTGGCATTGTGTTTCTTTATCCTAACAAGTTGATAAAAAGGATAAGATATGGAAGAAATTCCCACCCAGTAATGTGGCATTAGAGATCCTCATTGCTGAGTGTCAATTATAGCTATAATAATAAATGAAACTCCCAAAGAAAAATAAGTTCACTGCCAACTGAAACTCTTTCTAGTTGCTTTAGCTGCTAACAATGGTTTTGAAAATGTCTTTTTTGTTTGAGTGTTTAATTTTAATTAGAACTGTTTCGGTTGGGTTATCACAGGAGAGTGTATCACGTTGCCACGATCTCATTCCACTCTTTTTCATTCACTTGTTCTCTCTCTACGATATATTCAGAATACCCTCACTCCTTATGTTTGAGTATTTGAATAAAATGGAATGTAGGGAGGTAATACTTTTTTTAGGTGGTCACAACTGTGCTGAAAGGAGCCTATCTAGAGATTAAATCGGCCTTCCAGGGAAGCCAATAGATGGGAGAACACTGGAGCAATGCTTTCTGAGCTTTCCAGGGCAGGCAGTAAGTAGAGCTGTTTTCTCAAATTTCTGCTTTTCTCAGGTCAGGTCTCCTAATTTCCCTAAGGATGGCCCCCTCTGAGGTTTGGGTAGCAGAGTTGAAAGGGGCTCTGATCCTCTCACACTCAGCCCCATTGCCTGTTTTTTTTTCTAGTACTTCTCCTTACCAGTTTCATACTGTCTCTGGGAATATCTTTTCTTCTGTTAAACCTGGTGCCCTAAGACATTGTGGAAAATATTTTAGAAGATTTATTTTTTCTTTGGGAAAAGGGAAAAAACCCACTCTGCCTACTACAAGGCTTTCATCTTCCAAATGTTCTAAGATGTCTGAGGCTTTTACCATGCCTTATTCTGCCACAGGTCTTCCCATATGGTGTCTCATCTGCCTTGAATGTACTTCCTCCTTCTCTTTGCTGACTTAGATGCTGCCTACCTTTTGATCACAATTCAAGCATCATTTTTTCAAAATAGCTTTTCCAATTTCCTGACAGATTCAGATTTTACCTTTATAAATCTTTCTGAAAGTATTCTACATTTAGAGATGTTGTAGGAGGCTTGTTGTATTCCTTTTCCTTGAAACACAAGTGAGCCAGGGAATCTCTTTGGAAGACTGAAGGGCTCCCATTGGACACTCTATGGAGGTCTACTCCTGCAGCTCAGTGGAGCATGTCAGACACCGAGTTTTAGGTTAACTTGCTGTTGATTGTATAACCAGGAGCAGATCACCTCCTCTGAATTTTAGCTTCCTGATCTCTTATACCAGGGATTTGCTTACTCCTGTCCAGCACTAAGAATATGTGGGGCACTTTAAAAGAGCAGATATTCATGTAATAATACCAGTTTTAATAATTCTAATAAACAATTTTATAACTATTTTAAGAAGATAAAAAGCAGGTAGGAAAGAAGCAACTTTTTCCTTTCCAAGGCTGACTTTGTAAATCATCAGTGAGCTACTTAGAGTAAAATGTCTGCTGACTATTTGAGGTTCTAGTAATATTAGCTGAGTTTCCAAACTTTATTGAGAAATAAAAAACATGATGGTATTTTTTCAGTATGTTTGTAGTATTTTATTAAGCCTAATGTTGCTCAGACCAGGGAATTCAGATTTAAAAATAGGCAAGAATGTATTTAGGCAGAATCACACTTAGTCTCAGTTATTATCCAAGCCAATAAGTCTCTGTTTCAAGATTTGCACATACTACACGCACATAAGTTTGTATGTGTGTATGTATGTTCTATGTCACAAGATGAATTGTATTTCTTGCTATGGATTACATAGAAGAGACTTTAAAAGTAGTTAATTTAAGCTGAGTTTTGTGATTAAGCCTTAATAATATAATCTTAATTTTTATTTGAGGTCAGGGTTTAGCAAGAAATGCATGGAACACAGTATGAATCAATTTTATGAACTAGGTGAATTCAGGATTGTTAACTCTCCTTAATGGAAAACTAGAAAGGGCTTGAAAAGGAATACACCTCTTTAGATTAGCTGTTCATTTTACTATGGGTATTGTAATGGAGAAAACTCTTTAATTATAAAAGAGTTTTCTGGACTCATTAAAGGCCAGAAAATTTGAATAGCCATCTCTCTCTGGCTTTTGCTTAGTCCATCTTATTTCTGTACTGAGAACTGTGATCATCAGTAACATGGAAACAATTTGATTCCTCAAATAAAAAATAAAGTATATTTTAGTGTTAAAGTTAAATATACTATTTGGAGAATTGTTATTCTTTTGAAAATTGGTAATGTAGACATGGCAAAGGTGATGAAGTTTAGTTAATGTTGGACAGATTTTTTTCACCATTAGAAAGCATGCTTGAGATAGGCTGACAAAGTAATATGGGTTCTCCTAAGCAGCTCAGTGGACCAGCTGGTTTTGAATATGCCGTTAGTTATGGTAAGAGGATATGATGATTTTCTTCAGAAAAAAGGAAGGGCTTTCTTTATTTAAAAAAAAAAAAAAAAGCAAAAAACAAAACAAAACATGGGGATGGCTTCCTGTTTATTAATATAATTATTAAACTTAAGGGCGTGGCTAGGCTGATCTTTCAAGGAATAAGTTATCATATAGTTTTGAATGCTTAGTGACAAATACAACTTGATAACATTACAAAAGGATGCCACTGAAAAATATCTGTTACTTGTCTGTCTTGAAGTATTACTCCAGGCACTAACAGAAAATGAATTTTTCAGTAGTCACTGATGTGATATTTAAAACACAAAATAAGCTCTCTTTCTCTTTCTCTCTCTCTTTTTTTTTTTTTTTTTTCCCAATGTGCTGATGCTAAGCCAGTAGGCAGATCTTTTTTACTATAATATCAATAGTTGGGTAAAAGAGCTTACATTGCCTTCTTGTGTCCTTCCCTCATGTCCTTCTCCTCCACTCAGGTCATATATCAGCAAGTTCCTGAGAATTATTATATAATATGGTAAAAAAAAAACATTGTTTTTCTATGATAAGGGCAATAGTAATCCCCCCACTCCAACCGTGGCATAAAAGCACAAGCCTAAGAATTAAACCTAGACTTATTAACATTTTGATTTTAAGCAAGTTCCATAACCTCCCTGAATTTTAGTTGTTCATCTCTAAAATGGAGAATAATGTTGTCTATATGACAGCATTATTGACAGCATTTTATGAGGTTATAAGTACGTATCTAAATCCTTTGGTATTCAATATAGGTTTGTTGTTGCTATTATTATATTTATCATAGTATAAAATAATATTTTTATTGTAGCACCTAAAATCTTTCATGCAAAATATGTCGTTTAGGGCCAGGCTTACTTTCTCAGCTCCCTATACTTATGTATACAGGACATATAGTGGCCAAAGAAATCATTTCATGACTTTTTGAAAATTGCAAAATTTGTAGTCTTATATATGGTTTTATTCTGATGCTTTTTGTTTCATAAAAAAAAAAAAAAAAAAGCAATAAGAATACAAAGTATGTTATGTATGTACTTGAAGTCACCATATACTTACCAGGGTGTCATCATTGACTAAACAATGTAATACTCATAAAAGATTTGTTCGAAAGTTTATAAATAGGAGTGGTAAGTGAAATTAAAAGTGCAATTTATTAGGGACATCTGTAATACTCTCAACAATAAAGTTAAAATAAATAAATGAAAAAAAATATATAATCACATCATGTAGAATAAGCATGTTTTGTAAAAATATAAAAACAAAAGTTCAATTTATTGACTTATTTAGATTTTTAAAAATATGTAATCATAAATCCATATTGTTTTCTTTTTAACAGATGGGCTTAGGTCATGAGCAAGGATTTGGAGCTCCCTGTTTAAAATGCAAAGAAAAATGTGAAGGATTTGAACTGCACTTCTGGAGGTAATAGTTTTAAAATTACAACCACATTAGGAAGTTTTACTCTTTGGTAGTGCTTCCTCAAACAGTGGAAATCTTTTTACAAATTTTCTAGCCTGGTTGCTAACGTTCAGATCTCTTCCATTCATTTATAAGAAATAAATAAAAAATAAAGCTGACACCAGACAACAACGAATGTGTCCAGGCCTCCTGTTACTACTTGAGCCAATTCAGCAGACAAGGTTGAATCATATATGAGAATTTATTTCAATATTGCTGGCAGTATGGGAGAGCAGTGGGTTATCCTATAAAGTCTGCTCTGCACCCCTTCATTTGCAAGCTGCTTTTAAAGAGTAGAGAAACAATGACAGGCAAGGGGGAGGAATGTGGCCAGGGAGGGGGATTGTAAAAGGTTTCCAGCAAAGGAATGTAGACTGGGGGCTGCAGGGTCAGTCACAGATCCAGGGTCCAGCATTCTGATAGATAATCAAGTTCTTGATCTTTCTGTGATGTCTGGCAGTCCCCTTTGTCCTCAGATTAGGAGAATAGACAGCATTTCTGAGGTAAGCTTTTTAGGTACACACCTCCCAGCCAGGTCATAATGGGTTTTTCTTTAATCAGAGCAAAGCAACCATGATTAACATTGCAAAGGACGATTAACACTCTTTCTAACTATGGCTAGTGCCCTACTATGATTAGTTTTCTTACTCTTCTAATATTTTCCACTCATTCTAATATCCTGTCCTGCCCCTTTCATTTCCCACTGTTGATTTATCATCTCATATCTATGAGATTAGTTTTAAATGAAAAGTATCTTGTTGAACTGTATGATTCCAGGCCTATTATATTTTCCCACTGTAAATTTTGACTCTGAATCCTTTCAAGGAAAAGGGGCATCGGGTCTCATCTATAGCTATTTCTGGCTGATGGTGGGGCAGAGTCCTGAGATTCTCCCTCTCTGATAAATGAAGGGGGGAGCCAAAAGTAGAAATCAGTTTTTAGGTGAAGTCAATAGACCATGTGCGTTTCAGTGACTCAATCGTAAGTCCAAACTGTTGAGTCTCATGTTTCAGGAGATAGTGATGCAGGTAACTTTTATAATGGGGCCTATACTGTGTGAGTAAACAGTTAGATAAACAGGGACATAGGCATTCTACAAAACAGAAGAACAGAAAACATAAAGGCTAATGTATACATTAAATTATAAACCAGTTGAGAAGATTTTCAGACATAGGCTTCCACTGAAATGAAATCATGCAGTGACAATCTGACAGATTGTCTGCAATTAAAACATCTGTAGTGATGTCATCAGGTACTGAGGCATGCATGGCATATACAGACAAAACCTTACAACAAAACTGAAGACAGTTAACTGCACTGGAAATCAATACCCATGATTGGGTATTGTGGTTCTCATTGAGACATAATTTTTTTCTAAGAGTACCTTACTGTTAAAGAGACTGTATTAAGTCCAGTTCTAGTCTATCTTGGTTATTTGCATAAATATGAGAGAATCAATAGATAAAATTGATAGCATAGGCTTTCTCCAATTTTACTTTGCTGGAATGTTATTCGTAAGGAATTTTTAGATAGAGCTCTACTGAGCAGTCAACAGTCAGCCCCCTCAGGGCAGAGAAGCCAAAAACACAATTGCCATCAGGCATTGCCTGGAATACCTGCAGAATTGGGCTATATCCTCAAGTCCTTGAGGTTTCCAAAGATGCTAAGGTTCTTTTTTGCCATCTTTCAGAAAGCAACCTTTGTTCCTTACCTGGAAAGATTATTATGAACCATGTGACCAAACAACGTACCAGGCCATGTCTCCAAGAGGCTTTTTCGGCTTCAAAGTCAATCTTCATTCCTTAAAGCTTTCTGGTGACATCCAGAATCCTGGCCTATCTCTCTCAGACATTTCAGTCAAAGTCTTGGTTAATAAAACTGCAATTGGAAACTGGCTTTATGTGTCTTGTTATGAAGAAATCAGACTCCCATTGGATTCATGCAAATAAATGTATTGCCATGAAATTAATAATACTCATTAAGAGCTTCCAAATTCTGGAAGTATAATTTACTAACTTGCTTTAAGAAAAGAAACAGGTTTTCGCCTTGGCCGGTTTGGCTCAGCGGTTAGAGCGTTGGCCTGCGGTCCGGAGAGACCCGGGTTCGGTTCCCGCTAAGGGCACGTACCTTGGTTGCAGTTTGTCTCCAGCCCTGGTTGGGTCGTGTGGGTGGCAACCACTCGATGTGTCGCTCTCACGTCGATGTTTCTCTCTCTCTCTCTCTCCCTCTCACTCTATCTGAACAAAATATCGAAAAATGTCCTTGGGTGAGGAAAAAAAAAAAAAGAAACAGGTTTTCTTATGTCTGGAAAACAAAAAGATTAAAATCAGCAATACTTAAAAGAATTACCAAAACTATAATTATTTTTATTCAGTCCCATAATCAGATTCTGTTTCTTCTGATTTTTTTTTTCTTGCCAGTACTTCCATAAATTCAGATGTTCCACAGAGTTCTAGTAATTTCCATCCAGTTCAAGAGGATTATCTGAAAATTTAAAATAAGTCATAGTTCTTTCCATGGGTCTTTCAGAATATATACCATCTTTTCAAATGCATCAGAGTAAAACAGTGACTGTCTGTAAATGACAAAAAAGAAACTTAAAATGACAGGTTATAGATTTTATTACAAGGTAATTGACACAGAATCTTGTTCATTTTGTAAAACACAACATTCCAGAGTAACAATCAGAGTTATAAAAAAAGTATATTAAAATTTGTAGACTTCTGGAGATTTTTAAATATTCTCCAGAATATCCATTAATAACATGCATGTATAAGTAAAATATAGTTATTATCTCTTTATGTGACAAAACTTCCTATGTACCTTAGGCATAATTTTTTTTTTTTTCTTCATAAGAAGAGAAAACAAATCCAGGGCATTCCAGGGCCTATTGGAATGACCTAAAGCTAAATCTAAGTCAAGGAAAAGTTTCTTCAAATTCAAACCCTGAGAAGTTTGTCAAACATATTTGACCAAAAGATTATTTATTATTATTATGAAACAGTATTGAATTATTTATTCATTCAAAGTAACAACAAAAGATATTAAACATAAACATAGGTTAGTGTTTAGGTACCATAAAGAAGATGGGTTTTTAAATAATCACATAGCACAACATATAAACATTTCAATAATATATAGAACCTTTGCTTCCTGGGCAAACATAGAAAAAACTTTTTTTTTTCCTTTTAACAGACTGGAAAATGAACAAATTCTATATTAGTTCATTTTAGATTCATTTATCTAATTAAATTTATTATTTAGTTTACTTATAATTCTCTCTATAAACCTTTTCTACAACTTTCACAAACCTTTTTTACCCATTCAGAAATAACCAGTTTTAGAACAACTTTCTTTAAAAAAATAAAAATATGTTCATATTTTATACTTCCTATCACCAAAATTATACAATTTTTGTCCAATTAATTTGAGCTTTTAACTCTTAGAAACCTTGATCTTTGGGTGTGTGTGTGTGACAGGCAAATAATTAACATTCCTCAGACTGGCAAATATATTTACATTTTTGAGACATTTTTTAAATAAAATATAAGATATTCATTGACAGATCTAAATTTATCCTCTAGCTTCTCTGTAATATGAAGCCCAAAGTAGGCAAACTCAGATTAATTAACATTTTAGTATCCTGTTATTTTTAAATACCTAGATATTTAACATTTTAATTATTTAACCCAACAAACCTCTAGAGCTTAAGTTACAAAGACTTTATAAAACTATGTTTGACATATATAATTATTACTGAAAAGCTTTACCAAAAACCCTTCATTTTAGTTACATTTATTTATTATTTAAAAAAGTCAACATTACCCAAGCCATTTTCTTGACAAATTCTTTACAAACAGATAATATGAACTTATTCCTACAAACCCAGGCAAAATGAACCTGTATATTATGTTAATGACTTAAAAAATATCAGTTAAATTACCCATATGATTCTTGGTGATTACTGTATTCCTTCAATGTGCTCAAAAGTGAACTGTTCTAGAAGGCTGGAGAATAGGCAGGGGAAGGGGAGATAATAGACCCCACAGCTTATTCCAGGGGCTGCAGCAGCTCCCAGGACTCCAGTGGCTTGAATTTAAAAGTACCGTGTTTTTTCCTTCACATTGAGGTGGGACACTGGCCCCTGCTGCTTCCACAGCCTGCACAGAGTTTTAGGGTGGTGTTAATTTGCCCATTTCTCCGAGTCTGCTGTAGTTCCCAGGTCTCCAGGAGGAGGATCTAATGGGTTTAAAAGACTTATTTAACACATTTTTCTTTTACTCTCTGGGAGGTAAGAGCTTTTATCCTCTTTGAATCATCAGTTTAGATCTTTCTGAGTAGAATTCTTATGATGTAACAAAATGAAATCTTGCACATAAGAAGAGATACTGCCCTATCTTAAAACAGGAACAGAAACAACATCTAAACTAAATACATGAGTACTCTCAAAAGGAAGGACAGGGACACTAGCTTCAGAATCTTATCACACCGACCAGCACAACAAAATTACCCTCACAAGTCTAAGTGGCACAAAGTCCAAATGGCAAAGACAGAGGATTCCCTGTGTTCATAAAACAGCAAAGAGCAAACCAAGTCCCTAACAGGAGAGCAATCAAAGAATATTCAAAACCAAAACTCCATTACAGACAGACAAGAACTCTCGGAGAGCTCTTTAACAGAACAGAATGCAACAGACAAAGGAGAGCCCTTATAACTGGTTTTTTTTTTTCTGTTTTTTTTTTTTTTTTGGCATTAGTTAAGTGTTTGGGTGGCTGATATTTTGAGAGGGAGAGCAGATAAAATCTCAGCAGCTGCTGGGAAGTTCCTGCATTCCCTGCCATGGGGTCAGCTTACCACAAACAGGTGGGTCCCCCAGCTAACTGAGATATGCCCCCATCTTTAAACAAATTAAGCAAAATTGTAGGCAAAGTCACACAAGACAAAAACCCACCCTAAAATATGAT